CTCATATCGGAGTTAATTAATAATGACTCAGTGTTTTGTTCCAATCTCTCGCACCATCGAGTGAATTTTCTCCAATCACCGCGAAACTCGTTGCTGTCTCAGCACGGCTGAAAAGTGGAATAAAGTTTCGTATCTGAAGACCGTAATCCATGGCGGACGTCCAGAATTCGGTCGAGCCGCAAGCGGAATAGTATGAAAACCGTTCGGGCTATCGGGCCTGATTTATGAGAGCACGTCTCATTACGTATTGCGATTAGATTAGAGTAGCTATCGCACTTCACGCGTACATCGGACGAACTTCCGCTTTCCGCGTATTCGCCCGTTTCGTAATCGCGGATTTCATAATTTCGAGTTATCGGACACTTTCTCGCGGCCGTGCAAATTCTGGCCAGCTTTCATTGCCGTGCCGAATGTAGTATCGATGCAACGAGATGCGACGAGATGCATTCGGAAGCTGAATGGCTTCAACGCGTCTCGTTATTAAAAGAAGTTTCTCGTTCCACAGATTTTCATTCCTTCGTGCCGATCTCGACCCTGCCGTCGTTTAACCTGAAATATCTGGCTGAAACGAAGCCAGGAACTTCGTAATTCACACTTCGAGTTAACGCCGACTGTAAACCTCAAAGCCCCATAAAACGTTCCTGCGAAATTGGCCCTACGGGTCGGGCGTTAACGCTGCTGAGGTCGCCGGAAACGACAACCGCTTCCAGAGCCTCTCTCGAAACATCTCGACTCAAGTTCCACGCTTTAAAATGTTTCTACCGTATTGAAAAGAGCCCATGAGATTTTCGAAAGCGTCCATGGCCGAGAAAAAAATCATCTACGAGGCTAATAACATCTTAGGAATCTTTAGGATTCATGGCAGGCTTCTTCGCGATGATCGTGGCTATCCGATCTCCTAGCTATGCTTGAAATTTATACGAAATTACATAAATGTTCAAGGAGCAAGGAATATTAACGGGGTCGTTTTGCCAATTTTCACGTTTAAGGATTCCGCGAGGATGGCGAATTAAACGAACGGTTGCAAGGCGTTCAATTGCACCGAGAATATTAAGACTGCGCATTCGCACTCGCGTTTACGAGACGTTCTATTGCTGGCGAGTCTATGAAACGCCAATAAAATCAAAGGTACAGAGTTCAGAACGATTGCACATCTATGACCTTCCAGTCGCAATATAGATTGCACGCAGCTGCGGAAATTCTCTGAGGAACGCGACAAAGTAATTTTTTTTAAATTTCAATTAATATTACCAGCCCAAATTTCAGGAATGACGGAGTAATGGCGGTGCACCAGTCGAAACTGCACGGATGAGATGCAGTTAGCCAGGCTGCACATTCGACGCTCATTTACGAGACGTTCTGCCGCAAGTGAATGTATGCAAACTAATAAAATTAGAGATGCGTTTAGGATCCATCTCAGAGTCCATAATACTGGTAACTGCGCGGTTTCCTCCTTGAGATTAACAAACAACTGCAACTACTGGTATTAAATATCGTACAAGCACGGACATTTCCCAAAACATAACTCTCCATCTTTCCCGTCACATTTGAAAGTATCGCACAACTTCAACTACTGGTAATAAATAATCTGCAATTACAGAAATTCCCTAAGAGCACATGACATTAACGATGTTAGTCTAAGAAATGTTGATGACCCAAAATTTCAGAGAAAGCGGACCAACCGCGATGCACCAATAGGCTCTTTCGAATGCACCGCAAGTAGTAAGGCTGCACATTTGGCTCTCGTTTACGAAATGTTCTATTACGAGCGAACGTATGTAAACTAATAAAGTTAGGGAATCGTTTAGAATCCATGTTAGAGTCCATGATGCTCGCAACTCCACACCCTCCCATCCACATTCAAGAGTACTGCACAATTTCAACTACCGGGAATAGTAATAAAACTTACGCAAAAGCACATGGAATTAACGAAGGTCTGTTAGAAAATGTTCTAAACCCAAAATTCCAGAGATGACGAACCAACTCTGGTGCATCAGTCAGTTTGCGAGAGACATTCCACTATGAGTGAATACATACAAACTAATAAACTCAGAAAAGCATTTAGAATCCATCCGAGGGTTCATAATACGCGTAACTCCGCGACCTCTCAGCCACATTTGACTATTTTACAATTCCACCCGGTAATAAATAATATACAATTACAGAGATGACTCAAGAGCACGTGAAATTAACGAGGGTTGCCTGAGAAATATTTCCCGCCTCGAAATTCCAGAGATGACGAACAAACCATGATGCACCTCTGTTAATAAGAGCCCACGTTCGCACTCGCTTTTACGAGACGTTTTATTGCAGCGCCGCTTGAGGTAGGTCAGCAGAATCCGCCGCAGAATGCCGGCTGCTTATCGAAGATAGACCCGTCGTCGAAGCCGCGGTTCTGTCCGCGATACCTCGAAGTCATTGCCATCGAGCCCGTTAATAAATCGAGAGAGGAACCTCGCGAATGCGTTTCGCGAGCGAGTGGGCTCGATGCTTCCGCGAAATTCGATATCAACGCCCTTCGCGTCACGTCGATTCTCCTCGAGCCAACGACCACGAGGTACAACGGCCCCGAAAGGGATCCGATCGGGTTCAGGCGGGGATCCTGGGGGAAAAAATTGCGGAAGGAACGCGCCGCGAAAGGGATCCGCGGTCCAGACGGTCCTTTGGCCGCCCGAGACTCCTCGAGGACTCCCTCTTACGCATCGCCCAAAAATTTATTCCCCATCCGGGGGTTTCTTCTCCGCGCGTTGAAGTCTCTTTTCTCGTTGCCCCCGAAGTGGCACCATATTTTGGAAGCGCAGTAAAATCCGCTCGGAGAGTAATTTCACTTTTTTTCTCCCCGAGTCGTCGGGGTGTTACCCCGATGTGTGGACCGTTCTCCGAGTTTTTACGACCTGCGGAAAAATTCGCCGCGGGTGAAATGTGTTTTGTCTGGTAGAGTGCGAGTATGAGATGGCCGATCGGCTGCAGCGTGCAAGAGGAAGACGCACCGGCGAATCGGTGCGGTTTATGCGCGGGAATAAGTCTCCCGCGAGGGCGGTATTATTAGATCCATTGAATGAACCCCACCGGGGATGATTTCCTCCGGATTTTACCACGGCTCGCGTAAGCAGGTAAACTTAAACACGGCGCATTCGCACCGAGTCTATAACAGTTACCGTGGCATCATTTCCCTCTACGACATCCAGGAAATCGGATAATAGTTGCCACAAAGTACGACGATCCGCTGTTTAACAATAACGACCGCCGGTATAATACCTGCCGCTTCTGGTAATTATTCCCATCGTACGCAAGAGTATCCGAGATTGCTACATTTATGCGGCATAATGCATCGCATCCAATTTTCTCTGAAACCGCGGTACGATCTCGTACACGCGAGCCCTTCCGCCTGTCATGGCGGCGTTCAAGATGGCTTTGGATAGGGGAAAAAAGAAATGAAAATTTCACGCAATTCTTATACCGAGAGTTTTGTAAATTCTTGGAAAATAAAAATCCCCCGTCGTCAGAGGAACGTACAGCTGAGATGGAGGCAAATTCGCCGAGAGGAAAAAAACGAGACAAGGGAAAGACCTCGAGGAAAACATACGAGGGCATTTCCGGTTTGATCCAAAGGGCAGAGTCTTGAACCCGATGTAATAGCAACCTGTTCTGCCTGCACGAGCAGGTGCCTGGTATACATTAAAACGAACGACGCGCATGTTCCGGGAAGGTTTTCAAGAAAAAGGAAAAATCCACCGAGAACGGCTCGCGAACATTCGAGTCTGAAATTTCACCTACCGCAGACGTTCGGGGAAACCGAGATGACAAATTGATTCTCCCTCGTCCCTCCCCCCGATTCAGTTAATGTACCAACTGGACCGAGGAATCTACATTAAAATAAACGATACGCATGTTCCGGGAACGCCCGTTTCAAAGAAGAAAAAAATCTAATAAGAGCTCGTCTAGCACGGAGTCTAAAGTTTCACCCTCCATATAATCCCTTCGTCTACTGGAGCGAAAGCGACAAATTGAGGATCCTCTTTCCTTTCCTCGATTAAACTCGATTAAATCGCGTACTTCAGACTCGGCGAAGCCCTAATTATTTGTTTCTATTTTTATAGTACACGTAGGCGGCACCTAATGAGTCGTTTGGAAGATTTTTGAGGTTAGGATGGGTTATCTTTTTCTCTGTTTCTTTTTCGTTAATCTAGGTCTTGCAGGAGTTTTCATATTTACGTTTGATGGACCTTTCATAATTGTTGCATATCTAAAAGAGGGCAATTTCCCCGACGAGAATTGGCCGAGGGATTCTCGTTCCTCGAGTCCCTGTAAGGTGCGTGGCCAAGAAAATGCGGTTTCTAAAGTATCGACCGGCGCAGAGGTCACTGCGGATCGCCGAATAGAAACGGGCTGGGTAAGTACGAGCTCGGAATGCGTGCGATTTGGTAGCGCGTATTCTTGGACCGACCGGCCCAGACGTGGTCCGATCACACTCCCTGCCCGTAAATCTGCCTATTTCTATCATCATCGGGTATCAAGTACACAGCTGTAGACAAAATCGACTTGTTTGAAAACAATCCAACAATAATTGCCCGCTAGGACGTCAACCCCTGCCCGACACCGAAATTTCCTACCAATGAGGATCTATGAGATTGCATTTCCGGGAGTCCAAGAAGATACGGTACTAAATTGCTTTAAAGAGAGTTAGATCGAAGACGAGACCGAATATTGGGTCACCGAAAAGAGCTGGTCCAAAGTGGACCACATCCGACGACCAGAACGTTAGTGCTGGGAAAAGGTCTTACCCTAAGGTACCAGGATCTTAGAGAGGTCTTGCCGTTCACCTACGGTAGCTGGATGAGATTTCCGATCGGGGGGTACTAATTTGCATCGAAACCTGATCGCGATCGATGAGCGGCGTTCGGTGGACAAATAGAAGCTCGACTATCTCCCGGCGCCGTAACGCTCCAGCGATCCGGAGTTAAAGCTAACGAAGGAACGTTAATAAACTGATTACTCACTATAGTCGGAGGTGTCGTCGTTGGACCCGTTGACCGTGCCGTCCGGAAGAATCTGGAGGTGGCGGTTCTTTATGTACATCTGGATCTTCCTGGATGCGCCGGTGATGTGGGACAAGTTCGCCGATCGCTCCGCCCTGACGCCCGCGTCACCGATCAGATCCACCGGCGCGCCGAACACACCACCGATGACCGTACCGATGGTCAGTGCGCACAGACCGGTCCTGGCTCTGGGGCCGAAAAGAACCACCCCCGACCCGAAGAGTCCACTGTGCCCGAAGGCGAGAAGGAAGAGGAGGAAAGCTAGCTGGACGTAGGAGCGACCGCCTTTAGAGGGCCGCGGAAGCTTCCTCGAGGTAGAAAATCGCAACGACCGTTGAAAGGTCGAGTCGGGAGGATCGACTAGTTCCCCGGCGTCGTCGCACCAGCCGGACCGCGGCGTCCGCGGCTCTGGGAATTTCACCCCGGACAACCTGATGAGCGCCAGATCCTCCCCGGAGAGTCCATCAGGAACAGCCCCCGAATGACTAGAGAACGAAGACTCGCGTCTTCCTCTTTTTGGCCGAGTCGCTTCCCAGCCAGGATCCCCCGAACGACTCCCGACTAAACGGTCCACCAGCGGTCCAGGATTTCCCTCGTGGTGCTCCCTAGAATCGAGGATCGAGCTTCTTCGTTTCCGAGAACACTTCCAAGGGACGCTTCTCTCTTGAGCAGGATCGATGGGGAAGCTCCTGCCCGACGGGTCCTCTTTTTCATGACGGACCCCTAGGAAGGTCGCCCGGATGTCGAGCTCTGTCTCGCGTATCCGGGATCGGTCGACCGAACTTCTCTGCACATCCCGTTTTTGGTCATCCTGCTCCTTCGTCCGTTGTTCTTGGTCGCCGAGACTCCAACCGAGGACTTGGGGTTCGAGTACTTCTCGGCACGTCTGCCGGGAATCCTTGACCTCCTCCGAGATGGCCTCTCCATCACTCGAGCCTTGATACCACCTTCTTCGGAGCTTTCCCTCCCCGCGTGCTCCTCCTGCAGCTTCCGTTCTCCACCTCCGAGTGCATCGCCTCCTTACGGGACTTTCGCCATCGAAGGTCTCGCCCTGACCTCCGGGAGTCGCCGAGAACGACCGAGGACTCCGGTACCTCAAAGAAGGCGTTCCCGATGGAGGTCCGTTGATCGCTTCCTGGTCGGCGGCGCTGCCGAATGTGCTACCGTTGTAACCACCGACGCTGCTGCTGTTGGGTCCAAAAGTCGCGATCGGCCAGCCGGTGTTTCTGCATCCACAGTGCATCACTCTTGGCCCGGCCAGCTCGATCTCAGAGGGCATGACGCGCTCTCATCGGTTCTAGACCCAGACCCTCCTACCGTCGTCGATACGCGATCACGCTGGACCCCTGCGACGATCTTCTCCGGTTCCCCTATTTTGGTGGGCTTGCGTTACGGTCCGTTCAGCGTGTTTGCCCCACATTAACGGGACAACACCAAAACCCGACACTAAGCGATAGTGCACATGCCGTCCGCTTCCTCTTCCGCTCTCGGAGATTTGAGCTATGGCTAGGAACTTGTTCCTGTCCTCTCCCTACATGGAACTGTTACGCTCCTCCGGTATCATCGCCACCCGTAAGCCCATAATCACTTTCGCTGAGGGCCCACGTATTCCCCCGGCGGGACCAATCGGCCGCTATTTTCACCTCCTTCCTCTTCCACTGTCCACGAATCGCACCTTCTAAGTTCTCGCATCATTGCACCTTGGTGGCGGAGGGGCCACCAATCGCGGAGGACCTCTGGCCTAGTCAGAACGGCTTATTGGCGAAGATCGGGAACCATGGGATGGGTCTACGGGGTGGCATCACTCGACCCGGCGAACCTACCTTCCAAACTGAACACTCTTCCCCCGTCCTCGCGGTCCCGAGGAACGGGACTCATCGATGATCCTCGAGGAACTCCAAATCTCGACCAGGGAACCCGGGACCACCGACGGTTCGTTCGTTCCTCCAGACTTCTTCCTAGAACTCGCGGGTGTCTCCTCGGTGGGTCAGTCTTTCGTCGGCGACCGTGCCTCTTGCTCGCAGTGGGGTCTTCGGGCCTCGAGTAGGTCAGTCCTGGATCCGCACGACGGAAGGAAACTCCAGGAAGCAGGCATCGAGGAACCGCGGTACTTTCCGCCCTTTCCGAAAGGACCACGACCCCTCGACTCCCCTCGTCCTAAGACGACGACGGTGGAGGAGACCGCTGTCCCACGTTGGTCGTCTCGCCCTGTGGCCCGATCCGACCCCGTCAACGGGGGGCCCCACCTGCTCTCGGCGGCAACTGTAAAGACTGTAAAGACTGTCCGGCCACATGGGTCGAAGAGTCCCGGATCCTCCTTCGGGAGCGGTTCTCGTCCCGGGGGCGGGTCGCGCTGGCGTCGCGCCGGTCGGCGCGCCCGGCTCCGGGGGTATCGGTGGAGAACCGTGGGGGTTATCTGGTCGGATGGTGCCGGTGCGGCGTCCGAGAAACTACTGAACGAATGCCGCGGTTCTCTTGGCTCGGGTTCGGTACTTCGGTTCGCTCTCGTAGAACCAATACCAGGCCGCTGTGACGGGCCGCGAGCGAGACCAACACTAGCGTGCGGAGATCGACGCGCTCACGGGCGTGCAGCGTCCATCCCGTCTCGTCCCGTTCCCGTTCCCGTTTCGTCCCGACCCGCCGTCCCGTTCCGTTTCGTATCGTCCCGTCCCGTTCCGTCTCATCCCGGCGCAGCGGGCAGCGCGCGACAGATCTGGATGCGCTCGCTACCGCGACGCTGATGCCGGCGCTCACGGGCTCCCTCTCCCGGTCGAGCCCCCTGATATCGCCTCCTCCTCCCTCTCCTGCTCCCTCGCCCACTCCCTCCCTGGGCGCCCACCTCGTGGCTTTCGCTCCCTCCCACGCGAGCCGTCTCTCTTTCGCTCCCTCTCTCTTGCGCCGAGCGCTTTTCCGCCCGATTTTCGCCGCGCTCCCGGGAACTCCGAAAACGCAAAACAGACGAGTTTAAGAAATTTACAGAATTTTCAGATTTTTCAGATTTTTCAGATTTTTATCAATTTTTAAGATCTTTTCCTAAATTGTTGAACACTGCTCATGAATTTTCAGGGCGGTTCTTCTTCTTCTTCCCTTTGAAATTTCAATGATAACTGGAGACTTTCTGGAATCTTCGAGCTGGTGGGGTTCGAGGATAATCTGAGTACATACAGACCTGGTTTTTCAATTTTTCTTTTTTTATTTTTGAGGCTTTCTTCGGGGCTGATAATTTTTGTATGTTCTCGAGCAGTGCAATTGCAAAGGCCCCGTGAGTTATGCGAGTTTTCCTAGGTTGTTTCGATGGAACGCTTTGAATCTTCTGGCGTGAACGCTCACCGAAATCTGGAAAATAAGAGGGAAAGGGTTGATTTTGATCTCGAGTGGTTTCATGATATTTCCGGCTATACTTTGGGGAGTTTGTCGAATTTATCGATCTCGATATTTCATTTATGAATCTCTTGGATCGAAGACGAAAAATTAAAAAAATCTATGGTCACGTATGGAATGTTAAATTAAGGATTACACGTAGAAATTGTATGTACATATATTTATATACAATTTCTATATAATTGTCTAATTGTATATATTGAATCCAGATTATGAACATTTTAATTGTTACTCATTTTAGCTGGTAATTTTTTTTTTTATTTTTCTTAAAACCACCCGACTTTGCTTTCGCTCCTGCGACACGACAGCTTCCACATTTTTGGGAAGAAACATCCTTTTCGAGTCGTCCGAAGTTTTTCTCCCCGTTTCCGGAGAGGAGTCATCGGTAAACCATCCCGAGGGCCGAAACACGAGAGAAGATAGATCTTCTCCGTTTTACAGATTACTTGCACCCGCCTTCCCGATCGGCATCTTCCCCTTGTCGCTCCCTGCACTTCCGTCTCGAGACGGGGGGGAAGAAAGAAATTTCCTTGCAAGTCACTCTCGAGTCATTTACCGGCGACACTCGTAAAGTTTGTAAGAAATGAGGCTCCATGACAGTCGAAAAGAAAAATTTCAGGGGCGGCGATAACGGCAATCGTCGAGTTAAGTGGGAAAAAAAAAGCACAGGTAGACTCGAAGAATCCGCGATTAGGAACACTGACCTACGATAGTCCCAGGAAAACCCATTTTGTTGAAAATTGCACTGAACGACAAAATGCTTTTTTTGTGTCCTGCAAAAAATCTGGACCTTTTCTTGTATCCGGGAGCGACTGTTAGGAACAACAAAATGTCCGAATTAGGTCGAAATTTGGAAAAAAAAAAAAGATTATTTTTCAGCTATAGAAGTTTCATTGAAAATTGCTCCCAGTCAGAGCAGAATGAAGTGACCAAAGTGGTGGCAATCAGAGGAACTTCCTGAAGAGTTTTTATCAATAGCCCTTCTCTCTCCAGAAACCAAAACCCCTCGGCCTGGGTCACTTTCGAGACATTTGCCGGGGACTCTCGTAAACTTTGTAAGAAACGAGGCGCCGGGATGGGAAATTCAGAGATAACGATAACGGGTGTATGACCCCTTCTTGTAAATGGAGAAAAAAGCGGCCCAGGTATACGCAACCGTAATTGAGGAAGGGGCCATTTTTTTTTGTTTTAAACCGCAAAAAATTTCGAAAGCTTCTATATCGCTCCGTACTCAATCAGCTTTATGACAAATGATGTGGTACATGTGTCATCGAGTACATTTTTAATTCTTTTTGAATAATTGGAGGGCACGTTTCGTCGAATGCTTAACATTTCTTCGGTCTACTGTTGTCACGCAATGAAATGCACGGGGCCTAACGAGACCCGGTCACAGTTTTCTTAATGGAAGGGTTATTTTTCGGCACGTGTGAGGGGCCATACGCGTGTCGACGAGTAGTTAATAGTCCTCCCTTCCCTCCAAACCTGTCGAAAAGGACTTATAGGGTGCGAGTGGCGCTTAACAACTCCTGCCGCATGACGTAAATGTACCGAATCGGATCGCTGGGCTTTGCGGCCGAGCTTTGAACTCCTAAGCACAAAGAGCAGCCCGAGACTCGAATTTTTATTCATCAGCTTGCAGAATCGCCCGAAATTTATACTCCTTAACCGACGTTAATGACCCCGATTATCGCCTTGCCCTAAACGTTAATTTTATTATCGCGCATGCACGGACGAGATAATTGGTCATTTAACAATAAGTAATCATTGGACATTGTACTGGACGATGTTAATTATTGTGGCTTCAGCCTTTTCGTTTAGGCTACAATTGTGGAGAAATGATATCTTACATTCGTGCGTAACGTTAATTACATTACTCGAATTACTATTGATATTTATCAAAAATATATACAGCTGCGAGATTAAACATAACTGAGGATTATTTTCAATTAAATTCCTGCATTTCATCGTCGCAGGTTTGCGGCACAATCGCTGTGCTCAGTTTCTTAAAATTATCACAAAAATTGTAAATAAATTATTGCCCTTCTAAAATAACGTGTACTTGATTTTATAAATTGACTATAATGTAAAAAAGGAAGAAAAAATAAGAATTTAACACAAGTAAAGGAAAAAATAAAATTTTCGCCCAACGTGGGGCTCGAACCCACGACCCTGAGATTAAGAGTCTCATGCTCTACCGACTGAGCTAGCCGGGCACTTGGTGTCGTATCTGTAAATACATGTATTTCACAAGTAGTATCGGTCATTCTTATCAGAAATTATATTTTATAATATAGAAAACTTAAACCACAGTTTACAAATGTATATATAAAACTTGGTAAATGCTATTCCGACATATTATCGTACAAGTGCGACTATTTTAAGCAAAACACCTGTCGTCGACAATATCGATAAAAGTATATACGAGAAGCAATCTGATAAAAAATCTCAACATCAAGAAAATATTATATAATACAATGAACAGTATTACAATAACAACGTGCACTTGGATAATAACGTCTTGTAATAAAAATAAATGTGTCGAGAGAAACCGGTCCACTGAACGTAACCTCATTTCGAACGGAACGAAATGAAGTTATAATTTACAAAATTCTCAGTGGGTCGAGAGAATACGAGGGAAACTTTCCTAATTTTTTAATACATTCTTTACCTTGCAAGGTGCGAAAAAAAAATATCGAGCAAGTTGTAATTAAAGATGTTCCACCGTGGAAATTAAAGTTTTTTCGGCCAGTCTCAACATCGTTGCCCGTTAAGCTCCGGCGAGTTATCGCGCACGAGGTATTGAAAGTTTACGGCTTGAAAAGTGGCCCCTTAAAGTCGGGTGCGGTGCTTTTGATCGTTCGCGGGCACGACGAAGCATGAAGCATTTCGGGGATCGGAAAATGAGACATTGGTTTCAAGTTGAAAGCTTTATCAGGCCCTCGGCCAGGGCCGATATTGCTTCGGCTGGTAACTCGGAGGATTGCTTTGGCGCCTCCTGAGCGCCACTTTACGAGGCCTTCGGGGGCCACTTCGGTTTTACAACCGTAACGTGCCAATTTTCACTGGGAATTTACTCCCCCTTCGTCTTTGTTTCCCTATTTTCTCCCCCCATCGTCTGTGAAAAGAAAAGATTCCACACTCCGGGACGGAGTCATGTACACCTGAGCCATTAACAAAAAGAAAAGAAACGTCGAAAGTCAAAAGAAAGGAGGGAAAAGATAGAAGAAAGGGGGAAACACGCAGGTGGAGAATTTCATGGAAATTGAAACATCAAGGAAGCGTATGCGCAGTTTCTTTTTTATCAGGCGCCATTTTTTAGCCAGAATCACGACGCGGTTGGGGAGAGTGGCTGGACATTGGATTTAGGATACATCGAATACTAATGAGCCCACAATGTTGCAGTGTAAACAGTCCGGATCGAACAAATTAATTTCAATCAAATTTTATTACATACACGTGTACCATGCGGGGGGCATAAATCAGGAGTTTTACATTCGCGATTCGTCCTCCGCGGTTCTTGAAAGGAGGCCCGAAAGAAGTTACGGCCATTAATGTCCGAACTGAAAAACCGGGCAAAAAGAACGTGCAAACCCATCGAAAGTACGATCGTTAACGTCTAAACCAAAGAAGCTACTTCGGGCATGAATAATTATCGGCAGAATTGCTCACTGGCGTCGTGCCGTAAAAGTCGCGCTCCGATACACTATTTCGGCTTGAAGCTCGCATAAAGATTACATTAACGCTAAATATTCAGCCCAATTTTTTTTTTGCACCACAATATAGCCCCATGGAATAATAATCGAATGCGTTCGAGTCGTACGCCATTGAGCTACTCGAATTTTATGGTTTAATAATAGGGAACTCCGTGTTTACTCGTACACAGTGATGCTAATTTTCTGCCGCAGTTGGGTACACTGCAGACAAACGATGCTGGAGTAACAAAAAGATATAAAAGATTGAAAAATATGTAAGCAGGCATAACGCAGCACCTAGGTACACCCCTAATGCAATAATGGAAGCATAATTTCAGCCCGAAGCACAGCGATTCATGCTCGGGGCATCGAAACGAGGACCAAAGTAGCTGCTCGACGCGCGCTTTCCATGTTCTTTCTTTTTTCCGGCACATCCGACTATAATCGATTATTATAATGAGGATAATTGCAAGCAAGGGGAGCGCCGGTTAAAAAGCCGAAAGAATACATTCTTGCTCGAATGTGGGGATCACCGAGGTCGCGGGAAACCCTTGAGAA